TGCCACGTGCCATCACCTGAAACACTACACTCGGCACTCCCCACAACACGCCAAACTTCCACAGCAGCATCAGTCATCGACTTCGACGCCACTTGTACTGCCACTGCAGGAAGCCGAGATGACAATTCTTCGTAGACGGAGTGACGTGGAGGAGCAGGCATGTTCATCACTTTGGAAAAAATTTTCGCACCAGCGTGCCCTTTTTCTTACTGGCACATCGCGTAAACCAGACGTAAATTGTTCTCATTGGCACGAGCCACCTTTCCCGACGTATGAAATGGGCGCTTGAACCTACAGTCAGTACACACGACCGCAGAAGCCGATCATATCCCTTAGTAAGAGCGTTCCTCGAGCTTCAGTGTTGTGTTCATGCATTCGGAACATGCGAGCGATGAAAACACTGAAGAAAGAGTACCAATGTTCATTTTCCTGTTCCCTTGGAGCGAATAATTCTCTAGTGGACCCTCTACGCCTTGTTTATGTCCCCAAGCTTCTTAATGGTCACCGAAATACCGACATCCGTGTCAGTTGGCAGCCTCGTCGTCGTGTAGCTTGCTTGCTTGCTTGTTCCTTTCTTTTCTGCTCTCACCCACTAAGAGGGATTGGCCAAGAAGCCGGTGGTTAATGCAAGTCAATACCTATAAACTTTCTCGACTAGGGAAGTATGATTATTGTGTTTTGACTTTAATATAATTTGGCGCAATGTAAAAAAATAAAAAAAGAGGGGAGAGGAAGAGAAATATTAGAGTTTGTTGAATATCTGAGGTGGAATCGTTATATAAAATTCTCCTGAAAGTTGAATCATTGCAGTGTATCAGCTAAATAATAAGTGGTAGTGTGGCTAGTAAAATTTGAGAGCTGATCTCTGACTCAGCAAGGTAATCTTCTTGTGTTATATATGAATTTGCCGAGAGCCCCGCAGATGTTCCTGTCGCTGTGTCTCAATGAAATGGCCCCAAAAGACAAAATATTCGGAGTATTAGGTGACATTCCTAATTTTCGGAATAAAATTTTGAAGCAATTTTTTTTTGATTTTTGAAACGGTGACATGTGATAACAAAACGCTCGATATGTTCAGGTTCGTTACAGCTTGAGCACAGAGGGTATGGTACCAGACCAAACCTGTTTAAGTAGAAATTCAGAGGTGGTACACGGCAACGTAATTTTGTTATCAAGACTTCCAATTTACGGGTGGGACACCATTTATTATACTATGCGAAGTGCAGGTGCGAGAAATCTGGATTAGGAAACATGATTTTTGATGAGTCTTCAAGAAGGGAAAGTTTTCTAAACCTCGCTGCTGTTACATAAGCTGTAGGAGGCATGATTGCCACAATCGGAAGATCAAGAGATGTCCGCGCAAGTGTGTCAGCCATCTCGTTTATAAATATACTACAATGGCCTTGCACCCATATTTCCAGCAAACTTGCGCTTCGTCGTCTTCTGTGTTCTCCACTTCCCGATGCTAGTCGTAATATGGTCCAGGCAGCCTAAGGATACAGCCCTAGTAGCGTTCACACGTGGAACAAATACAGAACGAAGGCTGACGTAGCCTGACCAAGGCAAACAACGAAAATTGCGACAACGAATATTCTTTGTAAGAGAATAACGAAGACTTTTAAACACAAAGTTGTATATAAGGACATCATCCTATATAACAGTCACAATAAAATGCATAAAGTATTTTGAATGGCATTATTATAGACGAAACAACACTTGCTTTTGAACGCGATTTTTCGAAACCGAAACCACAGTTGAAAATGTGATTTCAATTTCGCTATAGCAGCTAAGGGTATGGAAAACTTGCTGTAAATCGCAAACTAATGACGCTAGGAGCATAATTTTTGTTGCAACATATATATGAATGTTTGGACGTGCAAGAAAAACTAAACCCTAAAAATTTATTTCGCGAGAAAAAAGGAGTTTTGAAGGTGGCCTACCACCTTAATGATACGGAATTTCAAAAAGTAAGACTGGCTGTTTAGTATAGAGCCTTGCCATCAGTTAACCTGAAAAAGTCACTGAATGAACTATTGTGCGTTTGTTTGAGGTGTACGCAGAAGGAGCGATGAGCATCAATGCGACCGCATGCGGCCAAGGCACACTGGTTTTACTAAAAGCCACCGAACAGACTCGCGCCACTTCACCAACTCATACGTGAAAACATAGGACTGACATTTTTTACGCGGTAATAAAACAACCTGGTGAGAAGCTTTCCTGACAATTCAATTTGTTTTTCAGCAATCGGCTATGGAGTTGCACCGATCGGTTTACACGGGCACATCAGTACACACTGAAACAGCTTCTGTGCTAGCATATCGTCGCTTCCCCCGCCGAGGTGGTCTAGTGGTTAAGGTGCTCCGCTGCTGACCCGAAGGCCGCAGTATCGAATCCCTGAAGTGGCGGCTGCATTTCCGATTGAGGCAGAAATGCTGTACGCCCGTCTGCTGAGATTTGGGAGCAGGTTATAGAACCCCAAGTAGTCGAAATTTCCGTTCCCATTCACTACGGCGCCTTTCATATTCATATTGTGGTTTCGGGACGATAAACCCCACATATCAATCAGCATATCATCACTTGCACAAAAAAATGCACGTTCATCAATTAAGTAAGCGCGCACTCACCGAACATTAGCATCGACATACAGCTTTTGTGCGCGGAAACTTTCAGACACAGCAAAAAAGTCTCTTTGACTCGGAAGTGACACCTGATAAGACACCTCACCTCCTTGGTAATTTTTTATATTGTTTTCCGTGTATATTTTCAAAAAAGGAAGTTGGTAATTTTGATAGCGTTACGTGATACGTTGCCGGCTGCAGTTTTCCTGTTATGAAGACGCATCGCGTCTGCCTTCAAACAGCGACGCGGGAAGCATAATGACGTGTTTTAGAGGCGAAGCTCCTTAAGATGTCGGTCGTGTCCCTCGTAGTAGTATAGTAGTGGTATTAGTAGCCACTTTACTTAGTTTTCAAAATTGTAACTATACTGCACCAGTGGTTTTTGTATAGTTGATGATATCGTATATTTGACGAATAGACAGACAGACAGACAGACAGACAGACAGACAGACAGACAGGCAGGCAGACAGACAGGCAGGCAGGCAGGCAGGCGGGCAGGCAGGCAGGCAGGCAGGCAGGCAGATGTTCGGATAGATATACGCATGAACGAACTCATCGACGTATTCACAGACGGACGGATGAATGAAAGAACGCATGGACGAATGAACGGATGGACGCCTCGCCCCACTCAACATCATTCATTCCGTAATTATGTTGAGATTTTAACCAGTTTTTTTATCGCACCATCAGCGTTGTTGGGCGTGGCGTAGTGGTAGATTACTAGCCTAGGAATATGAAAGTGACAAGTCTGAATTCTTGTAAAATATAATTCTTTTTCATTTTTTAAAGTTTTGAGCTTGTAGTCTTCTCTAGTAGCAATATGTCTGTGCCGTAACTAATTCGTAAATTAGTTTACGTGCTTGAAGTAGCCGCTTTTCCTTCCTTCGAATGTGCTGCAGATGTTGTCTCGAGAACGAATCCTTCACGATATATGCTTAGAGTGGTATGATAACGAAAGTTTTTTTAAGTGATTATAACAAAAGAAAAGAAAAGTGCCGACCCGTAACTTTCTCTCCGTACAAGGACACTTCAACAGGTCAGCACAGGATTGAGGTATATGGAATAAACGATGTAGGTAGGGTAATATTGGAGAAGACAAAAAAAAGAGAGGTGAGGGTCATTCGATCTGCTTTCCGCAACGGATTCACTAGCTCCCACGTGCCATGCGCAGCTGACTAGGAAAGCTACCAAGGGCTGGAGAGGTGTAGTCGTCGGGAGGAGGACAACGGGTTGGGTTGGTGCGTCCATAAAAGCACGTGAAGCACTCGTTGAAGGGCGTAATCTGTGTACGGAAAAAATTGTGGTCCGTAGCACTCACTAATACGAGTCCAGTCGACCTCAATGGGGAGGCACTAATGTTCCTTCAGGGCACAAGTGCTCAAATAGCGCCGAAGTCTTGAGGATGGTGATGAGGGCAGCTTGCGCGCACTTCACAAGTGTTACGACCGGCACAGCAAGGAGGTGGCTTGCAAGGGACGCTCATCGGCGTAACGGTCATAGCTGTCCGCGTCCAGCAGGAACGCGGGAGGCGTCTGTGTGCGCCGCAGGAAACGCACATCAGCGTTGCTGAGACACACAGCCTGCGTCTGAGAAGATGCACGTGCACGGACGAGGGGTATAAAAAGCGCGTCGCGTGTGCGGTCGGAGCTCTCTCTATGGACTTCACTGGCGCGCTCGTCTCGAGGGTGCTCTGGGCCCTTGTGATGGAAAGGCGCGTCAGTACGCTCTCGTTGGAATGTACTTCTCTTACAAATACTTAAATAAACGCATCTTCTACTTGTTCGTGAAACGCGTCGCAAGAGTCGTCCTTCGCCGGATCCTGGGTGGCAGCCTCAACCCCTCCCCGGGCATATCAACTGGTTGGCAGCGGCGGGATCGGTTCGTGTTCTTTCCTGGTACCGATGCTGATGAATGCTCACTTTCCGTAGAGATTCTGCCAGGTGTTTTGGATAGATGGTGATGTTTATCCAAAAGGGTAGATTAGTTGCTGCTTTGTGAAGGATTGAGTTTATTAGAGGTACCTTCACGGAAGTTTGAGCAATATAAGTCTGCACGGGGTGACCATGGACTTGAAAAAATTGAGGAAACCGGATTTAGTGCTGTTGTGCCAGGAGCTTGGGATTGAGGTGGCGAATATACACAGAAAGCCACTTTTAATAGAGGCGGTTAAGAATTCTGGCACGGATGCGGAGGAGCTCGCCGAGTGCTGGGAGGTAATTCAGGAGAGGATGAAAAGGGCACAATAAGTCGAAGAGCGAGAGCGCCCAATGTTTGAAAGAGAAACCGTCAGGCGCAAAGAAGAAGCGGAAAGCCAAGAAAGGGTGCTTGGGCGCTTGCGGCTTCAGCTAAAGATTGCAGATTCAGAGAGACGCACGAGTGAGCATGAGGGACTTTTTCCAGCCTTACAAAGAGAGTGGGGAGGAAGGTCCCATCCTGGAAATGGACAATATGAGGAGCCAATCCCCTGAGAACGTTGAGGGCGCATCACCAGTGTCAGATAAAGAGGGTGGGCTGGAAACTGTTGAGGATGTAAACTCAAGTGATGGTGAACAGGGTGAATATGAAAGTAATGGAGCCAGAGAAAATGATGATGGTGGTGATGAAGCAGGACATGACGATCAGGCGGAGGAGGGTGGGGTAGAGGAAGAGGGGGATGAAAAAAAACCAGAAGTGCAGCCTCAAGCTGAAGAGAAGGAAAGCTTACAGATGAACCCTCAAGAGGAAGAAACAGGCTCAGTGCCGGTAGAAGATACTCCAGCTTCCCCTACCGAAGAGGACTCTTCCTTCATGCATGATGCGCCTGCGTCTCCCCCTGCTGAAGAAAGTCCATCATCTCCACTAGAAGCGACACCATCTCCTCCTACCCCTGTTGATGTGCCGGCATCGCCAACGGAAGATGTGGTCCCTGGGGCATCACCTATAGAGAGTGGAGAGGCCTCATCGGCACCTGTCTCTCCTGAAGAAGTGCCAGCAGATGAGCAATCAGCAGAGGTTTCAGGAGAAGGTGAAGATGTGCAAGAAAACGACGAAAAAAGGATCGCAGACATCAATGAAGGCGACGAAGAAGACACACAGGACAATGCATCTTCGCCAAAGAAAATCGAAAGTCCCGAAGCTGAACCAGAAGAAGAGGAGGGGAAGAGCTGGAAGAGAGCAGTTTAGCAGCTGGTGGACCAAGTGACGACATCGCTTGCCCTGCACCAGAGGAGTCTAAAGTGGCAGATGATGGTGGTGTCCTCCTGGGCACCCTCCTTGATACTGAAGATATATGTTCTTCTGAAGAAGAAGAAGGCCTTCTTGAAGATACCAGTAATGGCATGGAGGATATATCGGAGCCTGGTAGCACAGGTGGCATGGTGGACAGTCTTGAAGCTGTTGTCAGGGAGCAGGAGGAGCCTTGGCGACAAGAGTCAAATGAAAGTGAATGCCAAGTGCATAAGAAGCGGAAGACAAAGCACAAGAAAGACACTTGTCAAAAGTGGTGGTGGAGAGACCCAGTTTGGTGTAAGCACTGAAGAGTGATCTGCGCGCGTCCGAATACCCCTCAGACTCGAAGATAATGTAATGGGGTGTTTCGGGCTGCGGGCAATAACGGCAGTTTCGGTCTCCCCGTCTCAACTCTCTGTGAACCCGTTCCGCCATGCGGTAGCAGCCGAAGCGCAGGAAGAGTAGGAGGGCACGCTCCTCTCTTGAAAATTCAGTTTTCGGGAGTGGGCGTGGTGGCTGCCCTGCCGCAACTCGCGGGTCCGGGTGGCGAGTGGTAACGAAGCACCGTGTGCGAATTCACGCTGCATCGAGTGTGCTCACCGCTGTAGTCACAGGGGTTCTCGAAGAGTGGCATCCTTAGTGAGCTCGTCGGCGGCTTTGTTGCCGGATATTCCAACGTGCGCTGGGATCCATTGTAGCACAAGATCACACCCGAAGTCCTGTACTGCTGCGAGCTTTCACGCGATGCGCGTGGAAACCGGAGGTCTGCGGGAGTCCGTCGTGAGCAGTTGGAGAGCAGCACGTGAGTCCGAGAGAACGGCGGCTGACGGAACTCTCAGTTAAAGGAGGGCATTGGCGGCGAGATCAAGCGCGGCGAGTTTGGCTATCGTCGACAATACCTCGCAGCCGATGCGGCACTGATTGTGATGCTCCAGCGAAGGAACCACACACGCAGTCGCAGAACAACCATCGTTCAACACTGAACCATCAGTAAAGACGAGGAGTCGCGCCGCGAGAAGTTCGTCAAATTGGTGGCAGTTTCGAGCCGAAGCGCACAGTCTGGCGTGGTCCGCTTGCTTTACCTCGTGGTAACCGTGTCCGAACCTTCAGAAGGCGGTGCTGGCAGGGCGGGGCACTATAGTCATTCGCATCCGGTGAGCTCGGGACGAGGGCGTAGAATGCCGCAGCGCATTGCCCCATTCATGAGTGCGGAAGTGAGGAGAGCCTGAGTACCTGCTCCTGCTCGTGGCGCGAGCGTTTCATACGCTCTATGTAATTTAGCCCTCGAAGATTGGCCCGGAGTAACACTGGTGTTTTCCCCGCCTCAGCGAGTGTTGAGTCGATTCGAGATGATCTTGGCAAGTTGAAAAACTGGCGAATCACAATACGATGCGCTGCGTCCAGTGTCTCCCACTTGGAACGCGTAAGCGCCGCTAGAGGAAGGCTGTACAGAGTGCGTGCCGCAGTCATTCCGTTGTAGATGCGGAGAGCTAGGAACGGTGTGCGTCCATTGCCACGAGCAAAGAACGCTCGTGCGGCGGAGGCGAAGCTTCGCGCGTTGCTGGTCGCTGACCGCTGGTTACCAGTTGAAGCGTTGGTCCAGCTGCACTCCGAGGTAGGTTACTCGCCTCTTCCAAGGGATGGGGATTGTTTGGAGAGTTAACTTCGGTGTGTAGCGCTGGGCGCCATAGCTGGGGTGCAGCATTATCGCTTCAGTCTTCGCCGGTGAAAGTCCTATTCCCCTGCCCGTGACGAACGCGTCAATAGAATCCAGGACTGTTTGGACACTGGTGCGAATACACCGGCCACTGGAAACAGGTCCCGTCGCGAACACCGAATTTTCGTCCGCGTATACCGCCACGCGCACGTCACAGGGAAGAGCACGGAGAATGTAATCATCAATATCAGCCAGGTCGAGATTGAACAAGAAGGGGCTGAGTACACTGCCCTGCAGAACACGACACTTACGAGACACGGCGCACTAAGGACTCCACCGACGCGTACACGCATGGTTCTGCCACCGAGGAAGGCAGCGATGTACGTGAAGAGGAGACTGGTCATTCCGAGATTGCGCACCACGTTCAGGATGGCGGGGTGTGGCAGGGAGTTGAATGCCGCCTTGATGTCTAGCAAGATGAGGTAGCCGGCCTCTTCTGTATGCTGTGCCTCCTCTAGCTTAGTGATGACGTCGGCAAGGGCGTTGGCAGTGGCATGCGAACCGCGGAAGCCACACTGCAAAGGCGAGAAAACATCCAATGCCTCGGAAATCCATTCAAGTCTCCTCAGTGCCATGGCCTCTAAGGGCTTGCCTGCTGTGGAGGTAAGGAAAACAGGGTGATAGGATGCTGGCTGTTTGCACGACGCCAAAGCCAGGCGCAACTACCCGAGAGTGAAATCCTCAGTGCATAAAGCGCGTATTTGATTAAGCATGCCGGTGGTGAGGAAAAAGTGGCGCGGTTTGTAAAATTCTCGGCGATGATGCAGTGGGAGTTGGGAAACCTCGGGCAAGCTTTCGGGAGAAGTGAGGCGGAGGGTGTCAGCCATTTGCTGGTAAGTGAGATAGTGTGCAACAGCAATGACGAGGGCTAGGAAACGTAACTCAATGGGTCAGAGGACGGCACCGAATATCCTCCACGCACGCGCGGAGCATCGCGGGTCGTCCAGTGTGACGCATATATAGACTGCCCCAGGAGTGGTCGCGTCTTTGCCGCGCGTGTCGGCACCACATGGCGTAAAGGCAGTTTTAAAGTGTTCTTGCGGTCGCTTTTAGTCGCACGGTGCTAGAGCCTCCGGCGAGCCGCGCGTTGATTTAGAAGCTTTATCCGGAACTGGTGTTTCCGTTGGCACTGTGCACTTGCGCGAGGCCGCTTCAACACAGCGGGCGACGTGCGAGAAGTAGGCGACACCGGAAGGTGGGGAGGCAGCCGAGAGTTGCCGAAAACATGACCAGCCAGTAACAGTGTATGTGCGCGTGCCCGCGTGGCGTGGATCAAGTGGTTCTAGGTGAAAGAGGTAATGATCTGAGCCCCACGTGTCTGCCTCCCTCTTCCATTCATTCCTGCAATGGTTACTCACAAGTGAGAGGACTATGGCACTGCTCTTTACGCCATGACGTACGAAAGTCAGAAAGCCCTTATTTATAATAAGCAAGCCTGTCCCAGCAATGGTATCAAACAGGTCTCTGCCTCTGTAGTCTATGTGGTCACTCCCCCAAGCCGTATGGTGTGAGGTGAAGTCTCCACAAATTACACAATCACCTTGTAGGCATCGCACAAAATGGGTCACGAATGCCTTGTCCCACCTGTGAACAGGATAGACATAAACACACGCAACTGCCGTGTCGCACTGCCCGAGATGCACTTTAACCGCCACACATTCAACCTCACTGCACAAGGTGCCTGCAAGATCAACAGTGCAATATGCGAGTCTATTGCGCACGGAGATAGAGGCGTAAGGGCGTGTAAGAGGATGTGTGGGGTCGCAGGACACCTCTATGTCGCAATCGCGCACTTGACACCTCGTGGTGTCGGTAGTAGGATCCAGCTGCTAGCTTGTACTCCGTTCGTCTAGAATGGCATTCAAGATACCGTTCATGCCACGTTAGCCCGAGAGATGCATAGACTGGAAACTCCACCCGAGAAACAGAGCGTTCGCAGCTTCTTTCACTCTCTTCACAAAGATAGAGTAGTTTCAGTGGCTTACTCTTCACTTATCTCCCACAGAGTTAAAAGGCTCTGGTAAGAGGAATAATGTTGCTCTGCTCTTGACGTACTCCCAGTAATCTGTGAGTGTGTTCGAGCACGATAGTTTGTGGCTCGGTCCCATGGTCGAGATGTGAGGTGCTATAGCGTAAGCTATAGTTGCGTCATTGCTTATGCAAATGGTTTCGAGGCCCGCATGAGCAGCCAAGAGGTGGGCAAAAGGAGAGTCAATTGCTGGGTGGTCCCCCTAGGCAACAATCAATAGGGTGACCACATAGACGTCCCTCAGCTACTGGTTTGTTGACGACAAACGTTCCCCAATGTTGAAGGCGGTAGACTGCAGCTAGCGTACTCGAAACATGCCTCACACGTTATGGCGGGCCGCGTATTCGTTAGGCCTGCACGAGGAAGTGTGGACTTGAATGACGCCGATATAGTGGTCCCTGCAGACGGACTCAGGTGCGTAGGAACAACGCGCGGCGTGAGCTCCGCGGTGGCATCTCGGCACATACTGTTGTGTTTGCGTGTTAATTTCGTGGAGTCCGTGAGCATGGAAAGGCTGATGTCGTGAGTGACTTGACGCAGCTTCCCTCTGGGCCTGAGACATGAACGTCTAAATGTGGGAGGCATAGCCCTCTAATTTAGGTCTGAATTTATTAAAAATCCCTTTATGCTTTATCTGACTGAACGTTATCCTAAAACGCTAATTCTTAGAAAAGCAAATCTTTCTCGACGTGTGTATTCTTAGGTGACGGAGGCGTACAATCGCACCAGGTGTCAATCGATTTAATTTTTGCAGCCACTCAGTTGTTTGAAGGCGTATTCATTAGAAAATGCTCATAAATAATAAATACGAAGCATTTCTTAGCGAACTTCGGTGACTTTGAGCGTATCTATCTATCTATCTATCTATCTATCTATCTATCTATCTAATCTATCTATCTATCTATCTAGCCAGCCACCAACGACTTTTACCTCTCCTGGCCGTTTCGATATAGATATCGATACTAAACTTTCTATGTGATATTATGACTGTATTAAAACTTATTTGACAACATATAACATGAAAATTAAGACAAGTATGCAATGAATGTCATGACTTACCTTTCATGGTGCTGCAGCTCTTGCGGTGGTTTCGTTCACATGACATGTTGCAAAACTGTTATGGTAGAACATGATTGCTTGGCAAACACAAGCGACAGACCTAAACATAAAATTATGATATGCGTGTCATGTAACAACATGATTACATGC